TTTTTTTTTTTTTTGTCGTTTTTGTGACCGGTAAGGGGATGCAACCCTTGGCTTGGTGTCATCCGCACCACGCTCAGCAAAAAAGGACCTTTTTCAAAACCTTTTACCACACGGCCGAGTACAGTGCAATTGAAGGGTGATATCAATAAGATCAGAGAATCTAGTAATGGAAATGATAGGGACAATGTTGTGAGACTATGAAAGGAATCTGTGTAGACTTAAAGATGAGAAGACCAAATTCCCTCTTTAGCATATACAAACACTATAGTCCTGTGGCAAGGTATCAAAGTAATTTATGCTTATAACCTCATGGGCTCATTAATATATAGCAGATGTGCTTTACTTACCAAGCTCTGGTTGTCTGGCAGCATGACAATGATCTGTGCATTATGATCCCATATCATTCGCCAGAAATCTTTCGTAGTATGTGGCAGAGGATGCTGGGTTATAATAAATTCATTGCTCCTATAATAGCCCTTTAGTTGGGAAGATGAAAAATCAGTGATTATGAGTGTTTTATTCTAACTTTATGGTAGTAAAATATATTCATGAAATAAGACAGCATTGTTTTGGCCACACTAAAATAATGGAGAAAGGCATTCAGTACATTTACCTAATTTTTAGGTGTACTTCTGCTAACATTGTGCAGACAATTTTGTCTCCATGTGCAATTCATTTCTAGTTACCCCTGCTGTTTTTACTTAATTTCAACGTTTATTCAAAGACTAGATGGGGGAAAATAACAATAAAATTAATTCCTTAAGAAGCATTTTGCTTAATTTAAGCTTTTTTTTACCTGTGATGATTAGGTCTCTTTTGTTAAAAGTTTCAAGGTACAGAAATCTCTATACTTTTGGTATTACCCATTGAGAAATTATTTAAAAAATGAAATCAGTCACATTGGTGATTTCTGCTCTTTAACGCCTTTCAGTTTAATTGACTTTATTTATAATTAACTGTTGACTCTCACCATGATATAAGAAGCATTAATGTAATCTGTTCCCTTCATTCCAGGCAATGGTGCAAGACCCACTCGAGCACGCTCAGCTATCATATGGAAAACACAAAAACACCACATTTGCCTTACTATACACACAGAACCAACAGTTTTTTCTGAGATTCGCTTAGTGAATAACATATCCCCCCGGCTCCCCTTTCTAAGACCTATTTATATTTTTAAACAAGCTAAAGTGTTATCAGCTAAAGCATAACTTAAAATGAAACTTTGCTGCACATACCCAGAAGGACACAGGCATTGCAGGAATAAAATTTTACTGTGGGAGAGGTTTTCACAGCAGATCACTAAGAGAATACTCTGTACAGACACGACTGAGGATTTTAGATAACTTTTGACCTAGTCTGATATTCCTACAATTGTGCCAACATATTGTACTTTACTCTTTTTCCAACCCCTTATCCACACCTTTCTCCCCATAAAGGGCTTAGAAAACTGGCCTTTTTCGGTAAAGACAAATCTCTCCAGTGATTGCCTGTGTCTATAGCACACACACAGTAGTCCAAGACTGTGTGGACTACAAGGGGAATATGTTCCAAGACCTCCACAGGATGCCCAAAACCATGGATTGGACCGAATCCTATGTAATCTACATTTTTTCCTATACATACATAGCTATGCTAGTTTCATTTATAATTAGGCACAGTAGATTAACAAAAATAACTATTAATAAAATAGGACAATTATGATAACATACTATAATAAAAGTTATGTGAGTGTGGTTTCCTCTTTCCTTTCCCTCAAAATATCTTATTGGACTGCATGGCAGGTAGCTGAAACTGTGGATCGGGGGTACTCTATACAAAGGTCACCACCAATGAACAGTGCCTTGATCTCAACAGCCAGAACAATTTAATGATATACAGATTAATCAGTACTGCAAGTTTTAAAAGAGTACAAATGCCACAGTGATAATAGCTTTACTATTATTTTTATTTTATTGTTAAGTTTTTAAGTTAAAATATCGTAGAAGTAACCTAATTCTTGCATTTCAAAGTGAACCAAAACTGAATTTCATGTCAGATAGATGGAGTGACTTGCTGGCACTGACAGCCACCCCTCGCGGTTTCATCAAACTGCCTTAGTTGAGCTGAGCATAACATTTTCCCCTTTGGTAGATGCTGCCTCTTTACATAATACATTTTTAAAATACTGACACACTGAACTAAGTCAAACTGATTTTAAGATCTTACATGGCACAACTGAAGAGTTTCTGTTCTTTTCTTTGTTACACTCTTTCTGAGCACTAAAGCATTCCACGTATTTTGCATTACATTGTGTGACCAGCTGGAAAAAAAAAACAAAATTTAGTCTTCATTTAAAGGTATAATTGATAACATGTGCTTGATGATTTGGTGAAAATACTAGTAATCAGACTGCCGATGAACAAAAATATTTTTTGTGCCCCAAAGAACACTTTTATAATTTACTTGTGGCACTTCTCTCAATGACCTTGGTTGTATCCTTGTCTTATTTCTACTATCAGACCTTAGGCTTCTTGAAGATAGGTACTGTGTGTGCAATAGATATTTAATGAACTATGTGGATTTTTCTGTGGCATGATGTCACTGCTGTTGTTAATTTTTTTCATAATTCCTTATTTGCACATAAGAGTCAAGTGAGCCTACACTAGAAAAGACTGCTTAATGATTTCAAGGAGCTAATTGTGTTCCTTGAAGCTAAGGGACAACTCAATAGATTCTCAGTATATTTTTTTTCAGCTGAACTGACATTATTCTAAGTCCATTATAAATAATCAGTCCAGCAGTTTGGTTATTCTTGCTGTTTATGTAGCCTGGTTTGAACCATTTTGTCAATCCAGTTTTGGGGTGGGGGTCCATCTTAATGGAATTTATGGGAACAGTTTCTTGCAAGTGCTTTAGTACTACCATCAAGGGCTCTGAATGTAATTTTTATTTTCAAGTTTCTAATTCTTGTTTTTTTCTTCTACTTGAGTTCTAAAATGGTTAGTGCCTGTATGAGAACCACTTGCCTGGTTTCCTTTTTTTTTTTTAAGTATGTGTAAACAAATATTGCAAAAATGAAAAATAAAGCAGAATTTAACTGTTGGCACTTAATATTTTGTTAAGAACTCGTTTTAAATATTTAAAATGATACATTGTGTCCTCACTATTAATTACCTCAAATGGTTTTACAGTACTTTGGATTTTAAAAGGAGCTAAAAATGCAAAATTGTTCTTATGACTGAACTCAGTAAAATTAATCTATTTTCCATTTCATATCACTTGCTATAATTTGTTTGGTAGTCTTATTTCTTCGGCTGAGATTCAAATGAAAGTTTTGGAGTCTGAAAATTTTTGCCATAAAAACTAAAACTGCACAGATTCATCTCATTCTTTCCATCTTGACACAAAATGAGAAATTAACTGATGTGCAGAGAACAATGTGCAAAAAAGAATTTAAAAGACTAGACTAATAAATAAGAAAGCACTTAGTAACTGGAGAGACAAGAAGCATTTGAAAGTTATACTAAATTCTGTGAGATGACTGTTTTTCTGATCTTATGTACTTTATCAGTCCTTATGGTCTCTTTCATCTTCACTTCAGTCAATTCTATATAAACCTTAACTACCTTTAAACTTCTTCATGCCCCTTCAAAGAAAATGAACAAGCATTTAGGAAAAGCTAACTTTTTCTAGTATTGTTTAGTTTAGCAACTCTTTTTTAGTTACTAAATTATCTTCTGAAATGTTTTTCAAGTAGGCATATTTTTAGGACAATATATCTACATATAACCATCCTTAATAAAGGTAAGATAGATAAGTTTAGAAAAAATATAGAAATATTTTTGTGGATGGGAACGACTGACAAAGTATTATCTTGTGGCCAGGGGATGATGTTTATGTTCAGATAAAGTCATAAATTGCTCAGAAGAAAATACATCACTATACTATCATCACTGTACTATCTTTTTGAATACCAACAATTCATGCATAGGTCAAAACTTTTTCTTCCCTTCCCATTACATTTAAGGAGTACCAAGAGAACAAATAGTGATCCATTTCAGTCTATACATTAATGTAAAGAAGATATGACCCCCAGACTCAAGGCATTTTTTCTGCTTTCTTGCTTTAAACCAAAGAAATTTATTCAAAGTACTACCTTAAATTGTTTTTCCAGTCGAGTCTTTCCTCCTACTCCCGGTATGAGGATGCTGTTAACATAGCTGTGCAGCTGATTTGAAGATACTTCAGTCTCCTTTCCAAGAATGGCTTCCAACAAGGCATCATGAATGAAAATGTACTGCTCCTAAAAGGTGCAATATATGGTAGTCACCAAGGAGAGCTGTTAAGGGATAGCTACCTGTTCATACAGTCTACTTTAGATTAACTCTGCCCAAACAGGAACCTCCCAGTGAGTTCCTTCAAGCATTTACAGCTAGGCATTTGCTGCAATACTCATTTGCTTATCCAAATTTGCATGGTAGAGACTGTGTTAAGTTTAGCTCTGTATTTCATACCATGCCTGGAACAGTAGGCTCAATGCAGCAAGCAATTGAGAAATGTGTGTTCAATGAAGGGCTTGAGAACCACCTTCTTTTATGTATTTCTCAGGCCAGACAATATGTTTAAATCCCTATAGCATCTAACACGACTCCTGATACAACTATATCTGCTTCATAAGTGCTTGTGTAGTTATTGAGAAATTTAAATGTTATGATCCACAAAGAAATGGAAACCTGTGATCCAAAGAATAGCATATGGTCAGAATATCTTCTAATACAAACATATAAATTCCTTCAAACCCTAAGAGAATGAATCTGTGTCCTTAATATCATTCAACTTTCACTTAAAGCATGTGCTAGAATCTCATGAGGGCACTGGCAGCTACTCCTTACCTCAGTCTGGACGAGGTAGTTTCGCTGTGTCCTGATATGCTTCAGGAATCCCAGGACATTAACTGTGCTTTTGTCTTTTATCTGTTGTAGCATGCTGTCTATTACAATGTAGGTGCCTGTCCTGCCCACACCAGCACTGTAAGAGATGAAGACATTCAACTAGTACTTGTTGCTTTATTATATCATAACTGTGGATTGGAAAAATTATAATCTAAGTATCTAATGAAATTAGAAATAACTCCATTGTTGAAACAACCCAGAATAGTTGGCATATGTTATTCATATAGATAGCACCCAAAAACTTTATTAGGACACCTCCCACCTTGTGAGTCTTGATGAGGAGCACAGACTGCCTTTGTACCATAGGAGCTGGAAGAAAAACGTTATATACTTGCTTTCTCAGCCTCCCTTGCGGCTCAAGCAGAGGCACGTGATTCAGTAATGCAAGTGACCAAGAAGACTCTTTCAAGGCAGCAGCCATCTCCACATCAGAACCAGATCTGGAGGCATTGTGCAGGGAGTTTTTCCCTGTGCTTAGTTCTCCATCTCTCCCAGTGATTCTATGAGTACCCATCATCCTTTTAATAAACCCCTTTTCTGCACAACTCCTTCAGTTGGCTTCTACTGCTTGCAGTTTAGAACTTGACTAATGCACTCAGTATTAGAAAGTTATCTAAAGGGGGGTATTTTCCTTTAGTAATCTAGGTATAGAATGAGAATGGTACATCTGGAAAGTCTGGCCTCTCTTGTTCATATTTCTTAATTATTATTTTAAAAAAACCAGGAGGATCTGAATTTTGTAGTATTGAATAACAAGCTTTTTTTTGGCAGAATACCCCAACAGGTTCCCCATCTAGCACAGCTCTGTTGAAACATAAGCTGTTTGACAGACTAATCTCCATTTTAGTAATTTCTAAATGGATTAGTGGATAGTATGTAGAGTTCTCATAGGATTTTAAGTAGAAAATGAATTCCAACTCAGCAAAGGTCTTGGTTTGTGAAAGCATATTATAAGAACAGTCCAAAAGAAATGATAGAGAAGGCCATGCAGCTATGCAACATAAATCATGGAATAAGCAACATCCATTTGAGTACTAAAAAAAAGAGCCAAGAATGCAATTGCAAATTAAACACAATAAAAGCATTTTTAAACAACCAACTAAAGTTGTTTAAGGTAGTTGAGAGAAAACAGGCTTCACACAAGGCTTTCCTAGTGCTTTTAAAAGGTATTTTACACAGCATGTATAAACTAAAAATTTAAAAATAAAATCCTTTCATACATACTACAAATATTATTATTTAGAGGAACCTTCAGAAAAGCCATTTATAAAAACTCAAAATCTCTGGTATGGAAAGCTCTTAACTTGAGCTTAAGACCAGATTTTTATTTATTAGAATCAGCCTACTTTCACTATAAACAATGGGGATTTTATTAATAGATGATTTTATAAAACTAGAGATTAATGTAGTTGAGTACATTTTTTAAAAAATTGCAGAAGCAGATGATTTCTTAATGTTGTGGGGATATAGTTACTTTACTATAAGACTATAACAGGTCTTATTCATCTCAGTTTTTAGTGGAAGATTTTGCTTTTACATCAAACAGTGCAGTAGCAGAGTTACTGCAGTCCAAGTCCACAAGGCCCAAATCCCCTGCTCTGCTCACTTTACATGTTGAATCCCAGACAGAAGAAAGTGAAAGATGCCAGCCCTACCTGCAGTGCACCAACACAGGGCCCATTTCTGGTGTCCGGGCTGCTGAGGATCTCCTTACGAAAGTCAGGACTGGGAGGGCATACTCGGGAACTCCCATATCAGGCCACTGTGTGTAGTGATACTGGATCACTACCCTTTCATTCTGACGACCCTTGGGATTTCCTTTCTGACCCTATGACAAAGGTGAAAAAAGATGCCTTTAAGCTGAGGGTGGGCATTCTGGATAAAAATAATGTAAGGGTGTCAGGAAACATGACCTCTGATCTCATTCACCCTAATTACTGCTCCTGGGCTAGGTTATTTCCTTTTTGTGGCCAACTTTCACATCATTAAATAAAGACATTACCTAACTGGATGTTAAGTATAACTATCTCTTAGAAGAAAAGATTGCTTAAGATTGTTCCAAGAATGAACGATTAATATCAGGTTTTTGAGTTGGGAACTATCCAAAGCACTTTGTAATTTTCTTAGAAGGCCTCCATTTACTGACTTTCTGTCCCAACTCCAGAGGCCTTGGTGCTTTGCCTTCATCAGCCTGTGGCCCATGATTCCCATTCCTTCTCCACAGTCCAGGTTGGACCTTCAGGAGCCAGAGTGCTAGTTACTGCTGTATACTTTCTGGGAAGTGATGGAAAGATTCTAAGTGTCAAATGATTCTCAGTTTCAGCAGTCAGAAGTAACATCTCATTTGTCTGTCACTTTCATAAATGACTTTTTCAGAATAGTTTTCCTTTGAGTAAGTGAACCTTTTATATTGTAACTACTTTGGATGAAAAATTTCCCCAAATAGATCGCTTGCTGTGATATGTTTTCTTATTATGAGTACCTCTAAAAAAATTTTTTTTGATGATGACTAGGGTTATTAATCAATCAGCACTAAAGCTTGTACGGTGTTTGGCCCTGTGCTACAAAGGCTCATGATGGCTTTGATATTTTAATTCTTCTGTTACCTCTCATTTGTTTCCTTCTTCCTTTCTTTCTCTGACTTAATCAGGGTCCACTTACTCTTCTTTTAGAAACACCTTAAGTACCTGAAGGGTTCCAATGAGTAAGAGGCTTTGTTAAGTTTTATAAGGGTTACTGGTTACCTTGAGCCAGGGGGCAGTTCTATTACAGAGAACACGGATATAATGCTACTGATTTTCATAGATTTCTGCCATTTTTGGAAATAACCATACACAGAAAGGACTGTTAACCTTGGATCACAGATGGGCTTTAGAAGCCACTGAAATTGTATGTAAAAATTTGAGTGAATTCCTCTGAGGCAAGGAGGCTACAATTTTCTCATATTCTCAAAGACGGCCGTCAAAAATTAGGATCTCATTGCTACAAACAATTGCCCTACCTAAGTCTCTGTAGAGTAACTACATTTTCTCAGTGAGCATCTATCTAGAGTTCATAATACCACATACCACCTATCAGCAGTTTCACATTCTGTGGTTTCAGTTACCTGCGGTCAGCAGAGGTCTGAAAATGTTAGTTTTTTGAGAGTGCACACACACACATTCACATAACTTTTACTATGGTATATTGTTATAATTGTTCTATGTTGTTATTAATTATTGCTGTTAATCTCTTTCTGTGCCTAATTTATAAATTAAATTTTATAATAGGTATGTATAGGAAAGAACATAGCATTTATAGGGTTTGATACTATCTGCAATTTCAGGCATCCACTGGGGTTCTTGAAATGTATCCCCTCTGGGGCCGACCCCGTGGCGCACTGGGGAGAGTGCAGTGCTGGGAGCGCAGTGATGCTCCCGCCGCGGGTCCGGATCCTATATAGGAATGGCCGGTGCGCTCACTGGCTGAGCGCGGTGCGGGCGACACCACACCAAGGGTTGCGATCCCCTTACCGGTCACGAAAAAGACAAAAAAAAAAAAAAGAAATGTATCCCCTCTGAGGATAAGAGGGGACAACTATACTGCTGTGATAATCTACGGCTCTTGTTCTTACAGCAGATTTTGAAAAAAGAGAAATCGAGATAACTTGGAAGCAGCATTTCCACAAAGTATGATTCTCAGTATATTAGTAGTTTTATAGAAAAGGATTTTATTGTTAAGTCACATTAGAAAACACTAGGCAAAACAAAGTTATATGGGCTTTTCTTTAAAGCACTCTGGTCACTTGTGATCACTGTAAATTTTTAAAAGGGGGAGATACATATTATATAGCATTCATTTCCCATTCTTATTGAATAGTAGAATCTGATTTTCACAAGCATCTTATAGTATTCCTTGGAATACACTTTGGGAAACAATGCTTTAAAGCTGTCAGAAAATTGGAATTAAAAAGCTAAATCAACAAACAGATGCTGCCATATTTGCTGAGTGTTACCAAAACCTAACAGGATGATTTTCTTTTTTTTAAATGAAGCTTTGTTCATGAAGATTAAAGAACTCAATCAGGCCAGTTAAATTCTATTTGTGCTTTGCCAATACCTTTCATTAACTCTGATGTCAATCAAGAGTTGTGAAAAAATGTTATAAAAATACTTTTTAAAAACCAAGTTGGTTATGAGATTTGGCCTTGGTTGTACAGTAATTTTCATGCAAGTATAAAAAGAGATGCCCTGCCAGCCCAATTCTTTCAATACCTTTTTCACTTTTGTATTTCTAACTGAAAAACGACGAACGGTATAGCAGGCATGTACTTTTGTGCTCTTCAGTGTGACAATAATGTTTCCATACTCCTCACTATTTTCTGTTGGCCAATACTGATCACATTTCCGCTGCAAAAAGATAAAAGTTTTAAATTATAACTGCACTTTATGCCACAGTTCTACTGTTGATAGTGTAATTCCAAATGACAACGTTAAAACACAGGTAAGATTGCCATTTAGTTGACTGAAAAAGAATGCATAGGTGGAACTTCTTAAAGTCAGATGTGACCTCTGAAGAGGCTGATGGTTTGGGATAAGTTTGGGCAAGATCATCCAATAAAATGGGCCTAATATTTATGATTATCTTTCAATATATGATGTACTTAAACGAGGGCCTACGAAAGAAACATGTATATTTCACATGTAAGAAATGTGAGTAGGATATATTATAAAGGGAGTTTAACCTAAATTAGTATCATCTAATGTAAGCTCATAATCCAATAAATTCTACAACATTGTCATTTTTTAAAAAAGTTCCTCTTAATGATGGTCAGTCAAGGTGTTTAAGCCGTCTTTACTTCCCCAAGTATGAACTATTAGCAGTTCCTTTGACCATACCATACTTTTTCCAACTTCCTTGCTTTTTGTTCTTCTGTCCCCTATACTTAGAATTTCCTTCTTTTTAGCCTGTATAATTCCTCTTCATTGTTGTTCAAATCTCACCTCAAATATTAGCTGCTTTACAAAATCTCAGTACTAGAGCATGCATTTGTTTATTTTGCAGCTTTCCCCTAATACCCTATTCATCTCTATCACCACATTTAATTCATTCTTGTAATGCCAAGCTCTCTTTCTCACCAGACCATAAGCCAAGAAAGAGCAGAAAGAACACTTTTCATTTCTGTAACTCTTCACACCTGGTCAAGTTCCTGCCCCATAGCAGGTACTCCATAAATATTTTTTGAATGAAGGTGCATAATTAAGATTGTAAACCAAGAGGCTCTTACCCTTCCTTTTTCCACAAGGTTTGTAATCATGATAATGATTCCAGTATTTTGTTCCCAAATCATCCTCCAGAAATCTTCAAATGTAGACTTTAAAGGTCCCTGGGTGGCGATGTAGGCTTTCGCTTTGTTGTAACCCTTCAAAGATGACACGGCTCAAAGTAAGATGAAAGCAGTATCACAGAAGACCAGTTAATAATTCAAGTGCCTTCCATACTGAATAAGCTATGTTTTTAGTGAAAGCTTTGTGCAGTACTAAAATACATTCAACTGTCTGTGCTGCAGTCTTCAATGTTCAGAAAAAGGTTTATAAAAACATATCTGACTTACATCGACATAGTTTGCATTAATGTAGTCACTGTGCTTGGAGTCTTTTCCTGGTAAAGGTCTTAACTTCACCCTACTGTGATCATCTGTAGAGAATAAGAAAACAAGCAAAAACAAAAGGGGTAATTTAAAAACTAGTAGCATTCTAAAGCACAAAACAAGGTAATCAGGTGCTGTGGCATCTCCCAAAGTGCTCTGAGAAAACTTCTGGCAGGACAACTACTAAATAGTCAAAGAGCATTAGAACCCATCTCAAAAACAGAAGGTCACTTCTGCCTCATGCCTCTGACCTGTGAGTGTCCAAGAAATGCAAATTAAGGCCCTTATTAGTTTATGTACAACTAATGCAATTTGCAGTCCTCCAAAACCTTGTCCTATTTTTGAAAACAAGTTCAAAGGCCTTTGATTTCTCATGCCCCCACCCCCTCCCCATTAATAAAAGTACAAAGAGGTGACTGTTATATCAAGTCAGAACATCTATTTTCAAGAGATTATATTGTTAAATGCAGGTGAACTTTCTGCTGCCCCAACAGAACCTAAGTAATTGAGGGAACCAGAAATTCTTTTAAGAGTAATCTCATTGCAGGAATCTGAAGTCAACGATCAGATTTCAGGATTCATTGAACCTTAGCTTATGAATAAAAGGGGTGCTGGTGGTGCACGGTAATGTGTCTCTAGTTGCCCAAAGGAATGGGCCTGGTGTTTTAGTATGCAAAAGAAAAGAAAGCTGAGATCATAATTTTATTTTCCCTATCTAGAAATTTCCTAACAGAATGGGCAAAAGGCAATTTATATTTCTGTTTATAGTCATTATCATAAAAGCCAAGTCAGAAAGAAGTCCAGTGAGTGGATGTGCCTAGACATTACTGACCTCAGACTATAGCAAGCTCTTTTTGAGAGCCCTCTATGTTTTTGGAACGGTGAATTGCTTTTGTTGTTCTGACAAACTCTCAGTTTAAAGTTGACATGAAACAGGATACCTGATATAAAAAGGCCCAAAATGAAAAATTCCTCCTAAGACACATGGATATAAACTGCTATGCTTAGTAGCTATTATAGTGTATACTGTTATTTCTTAGAGTGACAAATAAGAACACATACTCTTCAAGTTGCAAAATTCTTATTTAACTAAAAGATAATATACTGGTTAACAGATCAGTATAGGAGGTGGTGTGGTGACATCCACATGTCCCATGAAAGTTATGATGGCTTTGTGAGAAAAGGCTTTTCCTGTTTCTGGCACATTCACAGTTTGATTTTACTTATTTCCAGGACATTTCTATGCTATTCTTTGGTATATAAAGGCATTAATATAGGGATAGACAAAGGTGACAGGTGATGTGCCCAGAATCTGAGTGGCCAAGAGTACGCCAAAACCCAACACTCTGAACTTGTGAAAATAAAACCACATCTAATTTGAATTTGTGGAAGTAACACCACAAATGAACTTGTGAAAGTTACTACATTTAACCAGAGGTGATGGTTTTCCAGCAAACCACCATGACTCTTGGGTACATCACACAGAAGTTGCTTTGATTTTCTCTTTCTTTGCCACATACTTTTAGCCAAGGCGATAAGGTCCCTAAAAGTAAAAGTTGCTATGGTGAAGAGAATGTGTGTGGGTGTATGTAAGGCACAGATGTGTATATATCCCTGCCTGATTTGTATGGTCAGAGAGGAAGTATACGGATGGATGAATCCTCACAATCACAGTAAGATGAGCCCTCGCTGGTTTGGCCAGCAAATACTGCCAGAGTCAATCCATTCAAAGACTGTAGAGAAAAAAGAAGTTTGACTCTTTCTTCCTTGTTCTCTCTCTCTCCTTTTTTTTTTTTTAACCTCCTCTATATTCCCTCAGATAAGTGAAACAAAGAATCCTATTCAAAAATAGCTTGTAGTTCTTTTAAAATTTTATCTAGAAGTAGTAAAACTATCTCTATTTGTAGATGACATGATCCTGTGTATAAAAATCCAAAGGAATCCATAAAAAAATAACTATTATAAGAAATGGGTTCAGCAAGGTTGTTGGATACAAGATCAAAATACAGAAATCAATTGAATTTTTATATACTAGCAATAAACAATCTGAAAATAAAATTAAGTAAACAATTCTATAATAATAGTGTCAAAAACAATAAAATACTTAGGAATAAATTGAACAAAAGAAGTACAACACTTGTACAATGCAGACTATATAAATCATTGTAGAAATAAAAGAAGACTTAAATAAATGGAAAGACATCCATTTTCATGGATTGGAAGACAATATTGTTCAGGTGGCAATGATCCCCAAATTAATCTACAAATCCAATTCAATCTCTATTAAATCCCAGCTATGTATTCTGCAGTAATAGAAAAGTTGATCTTAAAATTCATAGGAAACACAAAGGATCCAGAATAGCCAAAACAATCTTTAAAAAGAGGAAAAAACTTGGAGGACTCACAGTTCCCAATTTCAAAACTTACTACAAAGCTATAGTCAATAATCAAGACAGTGTATTTCTGGTAGAAGGATAGACATACAAATCAATAGAATAGAATTGAGTGTCAAGAAATAAACCATTATATTTATGGTTAGCCGATTTTCAAAATGTGTGCTAAGACAATTCAGTGTGAGAAAAAAGTCTTCTCAACAAATGGAACTGGGACAAGTGGATATTCACATGTAAAAGAATTAAGTTGGACTCTTACCTCACAGCATATGTAAAAATTAACTCACAAATGGACCAAATACCTAAATCTAAGAGGTAAAACCATAATACTCTTAGACAAAAACACAGGTGTAAATCTTCGTGATCGTGAACTAGGCAATGATATGACACCAAAAGCAACAGGCAACAAAAGGAAAAAATAGATATGCTGGATTTTATCAAACATTAAAAAATTTGTGCTTCAAAGGACACTGTGAAGAAAGTGAAAAGACAATGCACAGAATGTGAGAAAATATTTGCATACTATATCTCTGATTAGGGATCTATATACAGAATATATAAAGATCTCTTACAACTTAAGAATAAAAAGACAAGTAATGCAGTTGAAAAATAGGTAAAGGATCTGAATACACAGTTTTCTAAAGAAGATATATAAATGGCCAATAAACACATGACAAGATGCTTGACATCACTAATCATTAGGGAAATGCATTTCAAAACTACAGTGGGATACCAATCAAAAAACCCAGAAAATAGTAAGTGTTGGTGAGGATGTGGAGACACTGGGCACCCTCATATATTGCTGGTGGGAATGTAAAATGGTGAAGCTACTTTGGAAAACAGACTGGCAGTTCCTCAAAATGTTAAACACAGAGTTACGACATAACTTAGCAATTCTGCTCCTAGGTAAGCACCTAAGAGAATTGAAAACATATGTCTCCCTTACAGCCTTGTGCATAAATGTTCATAGCAGCATTATTCATAATACCAATAAGTGCAAAAACCCCAAATGTCCATCAAATGATGAATGAATAAAGAAAATGTTATATATCCATACAATGGAGTATTACATTGAATACATGGTGCAACATGGATGAACACTGAAAACACTATGCTAAGTTAAAGAAGCCAGACACAAAGGGCCATAATTCCATTTATATTAAATGTCCAGAATATGTAAATCCGCAGAGACAGAAAACAGATAAGTGGTTTCTAGGGGCTGGGGAGAGGAAGGAACTGGAAGTGCCTGCTAACAGATATGGGATTTCTTGTTAGGGTGCTAAAAATGTTCTGAAATTAGATTGTGGTGATGATTATACAACTCTGTGGATATACTAAAACTCACTTTTAGATGGGTGAATTGTGTATGGTTATGTGAATTATATCTCATTAAAGCTTTATCAAAAAAACTTTACAGTGGTGTTCAAATTTTAAGGGTCCAATTTAAATACACTATTATATAAAATTCTGTGCAATGTGGTCCTCACCACAGTGTTTGTTAACCACAAACATCTGTGCCCAGCCCTTAATATCAAAACATAATACCTGCCAGTGACCCAAGCCCCACATGTCTACGAAAAGTGGCCTTCTAGTCACAGAAGTAGCCTGTGCTCCTCATGTATTTCTTGGGGCTCTGTATGAACAATGCCCATCTGTTTGAGTCCCTAGCTTCCAGGATACTACTTACCCTGGAAATATGTTGAATAAGGCTAAGCACATGGGCCAAAAGGACTGGAGGCTCATCACTTAAGGTATAGACCAATTACATAGTCTTAGACTGCGTTGAAATTCAACTTACTTGACAAGATTCTCAATATCTTTATTGGTATTAAAGACTTGGCTCTCACTGGTTAAAAACAATGTCAAGATAGCCAAGTGACATTCAGACTTTGGCTTCCAACATCTGATATGACATCACTTCATGTGAAAACAATGAAGCTCAGAATGTTTTCTTTCAGTCACCTTATTAAGCTCTCTGAGATCTGACAGCCTAATGAAAGACTAAGTGGACAGAAAATATTCCTACTTCTTATATGCTGTTGAAGATGGGCTGAGAGGTTAGCTTGCAAGTATTATTCTTTCTTGGCATCCTGACTCTGATTGCTTGGTTTTCAGCTTATACCCAGCATGAAAATTTAATTTCCTCACAGTTGAAGGTAGTTTAAAGTTTATTACTCACATGCTAAAATGTTGATGTATCTGTTTTTGTGCTTGTTATCTGGATGATTGGAATGTTCTGCAGTGATGTTCATATCAGCCGTACAGCGCTGGACTTCCTGGTGAAGAGAACAAATGGCAAGATTTTACACACACTTTAGAAAGAAAGGAACTATACATGTCCAAAGCCATAAAGTATTTATTCAGTCCCCAGCCACAGTCACCATTACCTCCCCAAACCCAACTTCAGATAGTTACTGACATACTCGTAACAAGTATATGGAGAACACGAAGAAGGTATAAGGATTTCATTTTTTACTAATTCATCAATCATCTACTTCATTCCAGATTTTGACCTAGGCAATGGGATACAAAACAGTTATCTCTTTGAATAGTTTATGGGTGAGAAAAACATGCAAAAAGACACTGTCAGTCAAATGTGATCAACAGAAAAGAGGCCTGAAAAAACTACAATGGGAAACATAGGAAGAGAAAAAGAGGAAGGCTTTAGACAGGAAACAATTCACCTGAATCTTAAAGAATGATCAGGAATTTCCAAGAAGTGTCATCTTCATCAATATATGCATATGCTTACATGTCTTATAGCCTCATTATATGAGATGCAAATTGACTATAAAGACTCAGTCCTGAAATGACGCTATACATAGCCCAACTAATTGTCATATCTGGCTCAGATATTATGGCCCTGACAAATTATTTGTGAACTCTAATTTAATTTAAATTATCCTTCTTTGGAAAAATAGCAGTGGCACAAGCAACTCTATCCCGCTACCTTGGCTATGGATATAAACATCACCCATTAGCCCAATAGGTTGCTGAAAAGCCAGATTTTTCTACACTGTATGCTTCAAATCCAAGAAAGTGCTGTAGCTAACTAATAAGAGGAGTCATTAGCAGTGCACAGCTGCTACACAGAGCAGGAGTAAAATAACACAAAATTATCAGGAGAGATGTTTTACACATAACAGATGTAACAGAGTTTAGGAGCATGCAGACTTTTTTTCCCACAGAGTTGCATAGCAATTATGGATGTTTTCCATGGCATTTACATCAAGCATGATGAAAACAAGGAATGGGTTGTCTTTTATATTCAAAGTACTTCCCAGTGAGGAGTCCCCCTCTTCTCTCCAAGGAGGAACTCATTGTAATCAAAGAATTTAAGATATGAAAACATAGGGTTGCTATCTGTTCAAAGAAACCACATTCATTGACTCTCCAATTCTTGGAAGCTGTAGATTGAAGTTTTCATAATTTAGGCCTTCCCAGCAGTCCATTAAAAACAAAAAGCCCCAAGCGCATTAATTCAACCCACCTCTTTGGGGAAAGTGTTTCATGACAATTCTTACCTGTTTTTTACCCTAACTAACTGTGATAAATTCTGAGATTTTATGTTCTATTCTAAACTAGTTCATAACCTGTGATTTGGCAAACACTGGTAAGGGCCTTAAGACTGCCTTTGGCTCTTTACTCTGAGATGAGAAAGTGTGGGCACAAAGTAATGAATGACTCTGGTATTTTAACATCTACAAGAACATACATAACTAATGCTAATCATACCAGGAATACTGGGGCCTGCTTTTTGGAATTGCCTTAAAAACCTGACACATGCTCCTTTGAATAGTTTCGAGGGCAGAAAACTTTTGAAATGAATTTATATTCTGGAAGATATTAATTCCATCTATATACAAATCCCAGAAACAAGTTGACATCCTTTTGTTTCTGGGTTTTGAAGGTCATAATTTTCACATGTATATCTTCAAGGCTGAGTTGTTTAGAGATACCTTCTGCTAAGAGATTTTAGTTTTTAGTACTTTAGTTTGAGATTAGTTTTATTAATTTTTTTTTTCCCTGTTGTGTGGATCTGGCCACCGTTAGCTATAAACTGAGGTTGGGTCTCCATTATAATATAATGCAATTGACCAAGACTGCTTGGGAGCAGCTGTCTGCACTGTTTAAAGCAGCCATTCAATATGGCCAATCAAACTCTTTGTTATCTAAAAACCCTTGGTCTGATCCGTTGCCTCTATTTCACTTTTCCAATTATGTGAATGACAGAAAACAAAGAATAGTCATAAATAATGTTAAATCTGATTTTGTTACAACCCATGAGGTGTGCCTAAGGCATTCTGATTTTGCCTTGTGGATAATAATGTCATCTATAATTCCTTGCAGTACTGCTTGGCTCATTTAGATGCTGATAATATCATCTGATCCTGGAGTGGCTTTTCTCCATCAGAACTGGCATTTCAAAGTTAATGTGATTTTAATAGGTGTTAAAAACCCTTTAAAGTGACATTGGCTGATTGAGTGTATATAGTAAAGTTACCTATTCAGCACTCTGATAAACAGTTTATGATTTAAGCTTGCTTGTATTTTACTATCTATATAACAAAGCTGAGAAGAGTCTAAATACTAACAGGCATATAACCACAGGAGAGAGCCATGGAAAACAAGAAGTTTAAAATAAAGTAAAGGGGCTGGCCAGTTAGTTCACTTGGGAGAGCATGATGCTGGTAACACTGAGGTCAAGGGTTCTGATCCTCTTACTGGCCAGCTGCTAAAAAAATAAATTAAATAAAAGGAAAAAAAAAAGAAAAAAGAAAAGCACTAACATTTGATATACCCATGATTCTTGGGAGATAAAATAGGCTAAATCACCTCTTGCTTGGAGTCGTCGATGTGAGAGGCTATCTAAAAGAACACTTGGAGACCTACTGTCCTACCATTCTGTGGCTCAGTTAAAAAAAAAAATTGAACAAAAACACTTCAAGAAATCTTTCAGATATTCAGTTTCCCAAAACAGCTGAGAAGAAAATATTCTGGACCTGGTCACCAAGTATCAGACTGAGTGTGTATAACATTCTTAGTGTCTGAGTTCAGGCAGCCCACTATAGTGCTAAGGGGACTGTTCTACTGAAATCTGATTTAGGTCATCACTGTAACCCAGTGTTTGTACGGTGTCGAACACAGAGCTGGCCCTCGGAAGGTGCTTGGTTACACTGCCTCTTCCTCTACTCTCTTCTGCTCAGGCTATAAACTGTTGCCAGACTGATTTTCTTCAAATGTTGTGTTGACTCTGTTATTCCTCTACTCAGAAACCTCTGGATAGAATCCAAATTCCCTGGCCAGGGTTCTGAGATCCCTTCCTATCTTCCATCAACTCCCTTCCCAATCCCAGTTTTATCTCCATCAGCTTCAAAAAGACCATATGATTTCCTGCTTTTTGCTTTACTGCCATTTACCTTGCTAAGAATACCTGTTCTCTTCCCCTATCCAAATCCGTATATCTTTACCTAAAATGACTGCCTCTCCCCTCCAGAAAACTAACCCATCTTTGGAGAGAGTACAACGTAGCACCTATCATCCTGCCGCTGGTCTATAACATGAGTTATTTTTTGTGTGCAATTTGTAAAATTTGTCTCACTTTTTTCTCATTCTTCATAAAAACCTCAACTTAAACCACTATGAGACTATGACTTTCTTCATAATAAGGATTTTAAAATGTTTTTCTTTAAGATATTTAAGACAAACTGGCATTTTGTCACAGAGGCTCTGGAAACTCTACAGGGTCATTTTCTGCCCTCTTGCAGGCAGCAGTCTTTGTGCAGCATTACATTTCTGTCCAGGGACTCCCCTATTATCACTGGCAACCCTGGAAAGTCTCCATTCATTACATAAAGTGATTGTGGCCTCTGGTCCCTCAGAGCATGGGCTCAGGTGGACAAAGCTTTATTCCCTTGATTTAAGATGAACCACCAGACCAGCCCACATTTAGCTCAGCTGTTTAACTGTAATAGGGGTGATCCCCCAAAGGATTCTGTCAAAGGGCTATGGACCTCTGGCCTCATCTTTGTGCTCAGCCTTTAAACTTCTGATTCTCCTACTAGTTCTGTTGACTCATGGAGCTCTGGAGCTCCCTTCTTTTGAAAGAGCACAGTGGCACTGTGCCTTGCGAAGCTGTCTTCATTATGTTTATGGAGGCCAGGGAAAAGGCTATGAATCTCTTGACACTACTCTAGGAAACTACTCCTTGGGAAGGACAGTGAGGTTGAAGTTAGCTCAGGTAGCCAAGGGAACAGTCATCAAATGCTATCTTGAGACAAGGATTAATGTTATTTCCATTAACTGCAAAAATCTGTTACAGGTATGATGTCGTCGGCTTTGCAGTCTCCAAAATTTATCTCACAAGGACAAAAAGCTGGCTTTCAGCATCACCTCTAGAAAAAGACTCAAAATTATCAGTGAATTGTTTTTCTCATTCTCCAACCAGCAAAATTCTGAAAACATGACAGCTATTCACCAAAATTTTTTTACTTCCAAGATTTTTAAACAAGATGGGGCAAATAGAACTGCTGAAATAATCAAGATTCATAGGTGCCTTTCTCTTCTGCATGTCTTCAGTACTTTATACCTGCATTACAGCACTCATTTTGTTTTGCCATGTTTCTACTTTAGTTGTGTATACTTTGGTTTGTCCCACCCCCTTTCCATCCCCCACTGAACTCTTGGAGGCCAGGGACTCTGTCTAATTCATTTTTGTACCTTATGTTATAGACAGAGAATGGGAGGAACTCAGTAACTGTTAGCTGAGTCATTTTATTTCCTCTTAATGGCCAAATAGTAACTATTGAGTTGTGTTTCTCTATAATCTTAAGATTAATACTTTGACCAAATTTAGGCCTCCATTCAGATGCTGGATTAGATTTTTGTAAGTCAGATTCTCAGCTCAGAAGGCTCATGACCATAAAGATAATGTATGGGCACCTAATACTGTTAGTGGGGGTGGGGGCTCTTTATTTTGGCTACTCCTTCTGTTACCCTTCTTTTTTTTTTCCTACCACGCTTTTTTGCCAAGGCACAGCTGCATGCTCAGTTTTAGACAGTCAGTGTCAATCTTAGTTATTTCTCCTTCTGACTTTAGCTCATTACAGGACACTAATAAGAGTCTGGATGGCATCAAGGTTAACCATGTGGGCTCAGTCAGACAGCCCTTGTGTCTTAAACCCTACTGCTGCCCTTTCAAAACATAGCCACCCAATCAATGCCTCAGTTGTCTTATGGGTAGTTTCCTCATATGTAAAATGGGGACTGTAAGAGAGTATCACCTCATGGGGTAGTTCTGAGAAAGGAGTGAAATAATCCATGCACAGTGCTAAGTAATATACTGGCCCTCATTATTCTACATAATGGATCTGGAAATCTGCAGTTGAGATTACTACTCTCGTACCATAATGAAGGTTGTTTTTTTTTTTTTTTAAATCACACAAAATCTCTTTTTTCTGCCCTTTATTATATAGCTTGTTACTAGTTTTCCCTTTTAGCAGAGTTGCCAAAAAGGAATACTACTACCATTTAAAAATGCTTCAAGTTTTCTCTAAATTATAAGGCAACAGTATATTGGTGAGTTTTTCTACTGTCTTATTCCCCTGTTTATGTTGTTGCTTTACTGTTCTTTTTAGAAGAAAGGATATTCTTCCTATTCTGAAAAGCTCTGATTTTGAAACTTTCAAACCAAGAAAGACTGAAGTGACAGCAGTAGAACAATGCCTCCTTCCTGCCTGACCTCCCCATTCCACTCCCATAACTATCAGTTAATAATACTTAAGCTATAAAATTCAATGGAGGTGACTAAAGCTTTTAGCCATAGTACTTTTTTTAGGATAGAAATTGGGTACAAATGCCCAGGATTTGTTAACAGGCATGATTTTGGTGCAGCAAAGCCCATTTTAAGTCAGATCAAGTTTATAGAGGTGTAGCTGATTATTTTGAATAATTAAATGGTGTTAAAGCCAGCTGTGATGAATAGCACTGGGGCCTCAAATCATAAATAATTGAGAAACCACAGTCGCATTTGATCATCTTGATCAAATTCTGCTCTCTAGAGGATAAATGTTTGTCCTGAATACCATCAACATTGTTAAATGCCTCAATATTCTTGCTCAGTCATCCAGCCAACAGTCAATTGAACTAAATCACTTTAACACCACACACATTTGCTGTCCTCGTGAATACAAAATGTTTGACTTAAACCATGTTCTTTGTAGTTGAATAGGAACCTTTTTTTGATAAGCATCTAATAGCAGCATTAAATACCTGACATGCTTTTGTTTGTTCCATAAAACATATGACTTTGCAGAATAAATCAGGGAGTTTTTTTTTCTCTACCACCTTTGTTTTCATTCTACTCCAAAAACAAAAACAAAAGCTAATAAAAAACTAAGAGAAAGACTTAATTTAAAATGAGTTGTCACTATAATTGCCTTTATAAAATACCCTTCGGGGATTCCAAATTTGCATAGAGATAGGGGCTTCTAGTCCTGTTTTTGTTTCTCATTGTTCATGCAAAATAATTGCACCTCCCAGGTGTATGGCTCTTAGTCCCAAAGTGCTTACCTTCCATTACTTCATTCGACCCTCTTGACCAATTTTGTTTTTTGAAAATAAGTGGGCAGGTTAGCATCACCATCATTATTTCCATTTTAAAGTAGAAATAAGACAGAGAAAGGAACTGACTTACCCACAAAGCTAGAAGACAGCTGAGCTGCCATGAAAACTTGGCCTCCTCGGCACAACTCTTGCTGCCAGAGATGTGCCTTAGTTAAGCGCCTCAGTGAAGAAAAGGGCAGTCTGTTTAATAGCTCCTCATTGACACCCTGTCACTGCTGAACTGGCACAGAACCCAGAGTTGGCAGGGTGGTGCGTGCCGCTCTCTACCTTGTTTCTTACATACCAGTTCTTAAAATCGGAAGGCTGTGTTAACCCACGTCTTCTCTCCAAAGATTAATAATCATGAAAACAGCAATAATCAACCTTTGCATGGTTCCTGACAATTAACCTAGCAATTTCAAAGATGTTAATCATTTCTTTTTTCCAACACCTTTAAGATATGAGACATTAGTGCCATTTTTTAAAATGGGGAAACAGGATCAGAGATGAAGTGTTTGGCCCAAGCCAGCTCCAGTTACTCAGGCGCCAAACCTGCTGTCTCCACTATACCATGGCATTGCAGAGATGACATGGAATCGGGGAACTCTGCATTATGATTGTTGTTCCCAGTTACAACCCCACCAGTTTGCCTCTTTCCTACCACTAAGTCTGTTCTTTCATAGAAGCGTGTGTTCAGGATAAGTGCGACCAACTCCCTTTCACCTAATTTTGTTGGGAAAAGAATGCCTATTTAAATTATGAGTGAAAAGAAAAGAAAAAAGAAAAGCAATCTCTACTTTCCACAGTTATTGTTTTGTTATGCTATATTATGCAGTTCAGGTTTACAAAAACCCCTGTAAAATAAGAGTTAGGTTTCTGGAAATTAATTTCCAGTTTTGAAACATACCTCAAAATCCTCAGAGAACCCATGCTGGTTATTAGAATAGAGCTCACCAATGTGTTTAACAAACTGTTTGACGGGAATGGCTTCCATGTCATCTGGGGGAATAAAATGATATTCGAAGTCATATAGAACACCTCCGTAAAACAAATGACACTGATAAAGCAGATCACACTTATTTAAGACAAATATTTGATTTATGCAAAGAGATAAAATTATATCACCTGAAACAGATGCCCTAAGATGTCTCAGGATTTATTTTACATAAGGATCTCATAATGACTTTGAATGCCTATAACCCAGGTTAAATATGGTTTATAAAAAAGGTACATAGAGAATTCCCTTTATTTTTATGGTCAAGGCAATTTACATAGTTAAATTACCATATCATACTCTTAAGTAAAAGTCTGAATTTACCAAAGGTACTTATTTGCCAAGAAATTTTATCACAACCTGTTTTTTTTAAATTTTGTTTTTGTTTTTAATTGCTATTCAATGTGATCTAGCTTGAACTTGGAGCAATTAAGTTTTATTTCAAATCTTTTAGTCTAAGCCATCTTTTATATATGGTTACTGATAGATGCCATTGTATCAGCTGGCTCTGGATACAATGCCATCTATCTTTAAGTGTTCAAAATTTTAGTTCAAGACAGCTGTGTCTGCATGATGCCAAATAAGGAGTTTGACTGAATTAACTGGATTTTTTTGGTGCCGACAGCCTAGGTATAGATTTGGGAAGACTCCACGTACCAATTTATTGTAGTGTTGTCACTTCAAAAGGACATTTTTCATTCATGAGCCCAAAGTATGTTTTAAGTTTATTTATTTAGACAGAATCTGATACTTGAGTACTACTGTAAAACAGCCACACCCAACTTACTGGAGCTCCCCAACCTCCTTCCTTCCTTCTCCTTCGACCCTCCCCCGCAAATATTTCCTTTTAAAAATACTCTGCTGAATTTGAGATAAACAACAGACATGACATTTACTTTATTCGGAGTGAAAGATCTTTGGCAAACGCACAAACATCTAAACTGCCACAGATGCTTTTCTTAGCAAAGGGTATGAAGATCTGTATGTGTAAATGAGGTCCTACTTTGGCAAGAATTTTATAGATCCAGGCCTGACAATCTGATTTCTCTTCATCTGGTGACAGTTAACATTGACTATGTCATTCCTTCTCTACTTTCTTTTGAGAGAGCAAAGCTCTAGGGTGGCTTTTTGCATCTATTGACATTTTCAAACTTGAATCATTCTCCTGCGGAAAATAGCATCTCTTATACTTTGTTTAAGGAAGGTGACTTGTATGTTCCTAATCCAAGTTGCTTAGCATAGAAATGTTATTAAATAGGTGGGGCTCTGTAAGCATAAATTCTTTCTGTGCAAACAATTAAAGTCCTAATCATTTTAATAGGCAACTTATGAAAAAAATTGCCAAGTTATTTACAAATATTTCAGGATTGAAGATGTTCATGAATATGCAATCACTTTGCATGCCCAAGAAATCTATAGCTCCCATGATGTAACCAACATTAACAAAGTAAGCAGAGCCAAAATGTTTCTGCAGAATGCACAGTTCAAGAAAAATTTCCAAAATTATCTGATCCCTTCACTTAAAATGTTTAGAAGTAAGCAAATTCTACAAAAAAGATGAAGAAGCAATGATCTCAAGTTAACCTAGAAAAGGGTTAATATGTACAAAGTTGGAGAGTCTCTAAAACATTAGCCCAAGGATAAACTGATCTTCAGACAAGAGGCAAAAAGAGTGGGATGAAGAGACAACCTAACCCCACAAATGCCTTAGTATATGGACTGCAGCAGTTCTCTATTTAGAAATGAAAGGTACAACATTGTTTCCAAGGGTAGATTGATATAGTTATTAGTGTTGAGGGCAACATTTATTCCACAATGATAGTTTAGAATTTTAGATTCCCAATAAACTTATGGTGCCAGGATGAAGAATATGGACTCGAGTTCAAAAACAAAACAAAAAAAGCCAGCTTTAGAGCTATTTTACTCTGAGAGGTAAAAAACCATGGCATTTTAAAGGTCACAGCCCACCTCAAATCATTAAAAGAAATGCTTTCAGGTTAACAATGTATTATTTTTTTTCCTGCAAAATGCTCAACAGTAAATATCCAAGCTAATATCACACATGCCCCAAAATCAGTATGCCTGCTACCCCCATGGCTGGATGCAGCAAAAATCCAGCAGAGCTCAGTATGATAATCATGGAAATATATGACTCACTCGTCTCTCCAATTTGCATTTTGATCCAAGGAAGTCTAACCACACCCTCTGGGTTTCCAGGCACCACCAATAACATCATAAAACTATCAGACAGGTGGATAAACAGATGCATGCTATAATGACCACCATCAGCTACCAGATAACACATTGTCTTTCAATCAAGATAAATAGCTTAGGGGTCATAAATCTTTTCTCTATATTAAAATAAATACAGGGCTATGACTGATTAGAAGTCCTAATAGTTTCCCTATGTTTTTTCTACTAAATTCTTTCAACATGAGCCAGATGATTACAAAATTAATGTAACTAGCAGAAGGCCAAGCAATTAGGACAGCATCATAGACCTAATCTGCTCAGTTTTGATCTGGAAAGATCCCGTGCATTATAAGATATTCATCCATAAGATGTTATTTCCACCTAAATGTCTGAATTTTACCAAAGACTGCAGAAAATATTAGCAGCATTAACTAGAGACCAGGCACTTTCTATACACTTTTCATATATTAACATGTACTCACATAAGAACTATTTTCATTTCCATCTTTCAGTTGAGAAAACAAATTAAGAAAGATTAACTGAAGGATGGAGTAGGTCACAGGAAGCTGGCTGCACACCCAAGGTGAAGATTGCTCCAGCTCAGAGAGAGAAAGGCTACTGTCTGGGTCAGAGAGAATGGGGAAACCACTAAATGAAGCATTTTCTCTCTTTTTAAAATTTCTAATAAAGTTTATGATGGAAACATACAGGGTGTAAAGATGAGGAGAATGGACCATTTGGAACTAATCTGGAGCATCTAGGAAGGCATCCCTGAGCAAGTGATATGGATGGAGCATTTTCTGAACACCTAGTACTCAGCCGAATATTAGGGAGATGGTCTTGGCTCAAGGGCAACATTTGTGTTGGAGAAGAGATGAACATAAGAGAGAGAGAGCAAGAATGGTGTGTAATTACATGATGAAGACTACAAGTGCCATACAAAGGATGGATTTTTAGGTGAGAATAAAAGTCACTGTTGTAGGTGGTGATGGGAGAACCATAAAGAAAAAGAAGATGGGCTGGAATCAAAGTGAAGATATTTTCACTAACTACAGCTTAGGTGGGAGATTGTTATGGTATAATGAAAACAATATAATAGTGAAGTTGGTATAATAAGAAGAGAGCCACCATTTATTAAGCCCTTACTGGATGCCAGGGACTGTGCTAAATGCTTTTCATACATTTATCTTTACAAGAACCAGGTGAAGGAAAACATAGTTATCTTTACAACACACATAAGGAAACCAAGATAGCTTGTCTGAAGCAACACAATTAGTTCAGTGGCAGAGCTGAGATTTGAACCCAGGTCTACTGAACCCAAAAAGCTTGTGCTCCTATAAACTGTGATATATTTTTTGTCTTCATTCTCAAAGCTCCGCAGTTTCAAAGAAGAACAAGAAATTAAATAGAGTGTCTTGGTTAATCTGATAAAATAATACTTATAATTTTATGCCAATATTTTTACTTATAGAATTTTCAGATACCAAAAGCTTAAATTAGGCAAAAACAGGACCACTACTATTATCACTAAATCACCCTATTATAAAATGTTTGATACAGTCAATTGATAATCAGTACCTGAAAAATGGGCTATTATCAAATGCTATTATTTATATTTACTTCTAAGATTTTAGCTTTTTGTGGTTAGAATTATACTGTGTCAGTAAGAGGCCTTTTATTTTGGTCAGTCCACAACAAAACTTGTTTATGTACCACTACTGATAAAGCTTGAAATTAGTCTCTGATTTGTAGGTACCAAAAGCAGAGCATTAGAAGAGGGTGAACTGATGACAGCAACTTCTACTGAGTAAGCACCAGAGCTAAGGCTGACGACAAATGCAACAGTGCAGGAAAGAAAGAACAATGCACTTGAACATAAAGAAAAGCTGCTTCTGTAATCTATGGTATGTCTCTTTTGTACTTAAATCTTCAAAACTATTAGAGGGAAATCACCAATAGTTTAGGCTTCTAACCTACTCGTATACTAAATTTTCCTTTCTAATCTTAAGGAATACCATAAATAAACAAAAAGTGAGAAAGTTAGCTTTCTTGTCTGCAATTTTTGGTTTGATATTAGGAAGGAAAAATCAGCAGCTAAGGCTGTCCCTGAACATATACCACAAGAAGGAGCTTCACAGAGGGCCCAACCTCAGTACACTGCTCAGGGGAAGGGCCCTTAGGTTACAGTTCAGTAAAGTTGTGCAGCTGTTACTCTTATCAGCCACCAGTGATGGAGCACCTCCTTTGTATCAGGAACCCAGAGGCAATGGTGTGAGTGGAAAAAAACCAGAGCCAGACTGCCTGGTGGCGTGACTTCATCTCTCTGTGATTCCCTTTCCTCATCTGTAAAATGGGAATAACAGTGCTTAATTCAGAGTGTTATGAAAAGTAAACAAGATAATTTAAGTACTTATAAGAGTGCTTGGCATTCAGTACATATTTAATAACTATGATTTATTATTAGTTACTACATGCTTTACATGCACGGCCCTATGATCTAGGGGCTGTGATTACTCCCATTTTACAGATGAGGAAACTGTGGCTAAGAGAGACTAAGGAGCTTGCCAAGTCCCACTGTCATTATCAAGTGATGGGGCCTGGGTGACTCCAAAGCCTGGGATCTTCCATTTTACATTACCTCCTAGACCTTACATTTGAAAGAAACTTCCAACAAAAAAAGGTTGAAATGATATGCTTTGGCTTTAAGGGTAAGCTTCAATTACCTGGAAAATTCACATCGGTAGATTGGTCACCTTGATGATGCCAGCTAAATAAAGTGTTACTGTATTTACCTTCCTGACAAGATACTTAG